CGAAAGACAAGGAACAACAAATGCTGGTTAGGATGCAGAGAAAGGGGAACGCTCCTACACTGCTGGTGGGAATATAAATTAGTTCAACCATTGTGGAAACCAATATGGAGGTTCCTCAAAAAACTAAAAATAGAAATACCATTTGACCCAATAATTCCATTCCTAGGAATTTACCCAAAGAAAACAAGATCCCAGAATCAAAAAGACATACATATTCCTATGTTTATCGCAGCACTATTTACAATAGCCAAGATATGTAAGCAACACAAGCATCCATCAGTAGATTAATGGATAAAGAAGAGATGGTATATATACACAATGGAATATTATTCAACCATAAGAAGAATACAAATCCTGCCATTTGCAACAACATGGATAGCACTAGTGGGTATTATGCTCAGTGAAATAAGCTAGGTGGAGAAAGACAAGTATCAAATGATTTCACTCATTTGTGGAGTATAACAACAAAGCAAAACTGAAGGAACAAAACAGCAGCAGACTCACAAACTCCAAGAAGGAACTAGAGGTTAGCAAAGGGCAGGGAATTGGGTGGCTGGGTGGGGAGAGAGAAGGGGATTGAGGGGAATTATGATTGGCATACATAATGTAGCGCAACGGGAAGGCAGTGTAGTACAGAGAAGACAATTAGTGACTCTATAGCATCTTACTGCGCTGATGGACAGTGACTGCAATGGGGTGTGTGGGTAGGCCTTGATAATATGGGTGAATGTAGTAACCTCAATATTGTTCATGTGAAATGTTCATACGATTGCATATCAGTGATACCTTAATAAAAAAAATCACTATATCATATACCTGAAACCCATACAATACAGTTGTGTATCTACTGTACTTCAATTAAAAAATGGAGAAAAGGTAGTTTGCACTAGAGTTAGAATTTTCTAGAATCTAAGATGAGTACTAAGAAACCATCTGCAAGATTTCTCTAAATCAGGCTTCAGCAATAACCACATTTAACCCGTGGGAGCTGTGACTTGGCTCTGGGTCTCTGCCCCCAAGGGCACCAGAACACTGTTGCTGGACAGTTGCCACAAACCTGTCGGGATGCAGCCATGGACTGGAATTTACTGGAATTTATGCCTGCGGCCAGTACTCCACTTTTTAATCAGTGCCACTGTCATCCAAACATGGACCTTGTTTCCTGCCCTGCTTCTGCAACTGCTTGTCAATATTTGATTTCCAGATCATAAGACCCCATCCTTTATGAAGTGCCATGGCCTGTCACTTAAAACAAACAGAAGAGGACGTCAGCAAAAACCACTCTGGTCAAAGCGCCCACTTCTCAGGACTTTCCCCAGTTGGTTCATCCCTGCTCGTCCCCGCCCCCAGGAATAGCAATGCAGTGCAAGCTCTGAGCACCCTTTGTTCGCTCCTGGGAGTGTGTGGCCCCAAGAGACAATGCTGGGATTTATAAACCAGAGAGATCGTAAATGTCAGTGCAATGCTAGCCGCTAGATTATACAGCAGTCTGTTGGTAAAATCCTTCAGGTTGATATTCCATTTAGAGAGATTGGAGGAAGGAGGTGGGGTGGGACTCACATTGCAAATCCTCACCAATTTAGCCAGGTATTTCAGCTACCTCTCCCAGAGCAGAAGTAGTGTGTGAATGGGCAGAGTGGGTACCCAGCCTCTCAAATCCCTGATGGGCGATGCCTTAAATTGACCTTTCAGCCTAGATTTTGTTCTCTAAAGCCAATTGCTGCTGCCATTAGGAGACCACACCCTATTAAAGTAAACCCAGGTCCTCCTAAGTTCCTATGTGAAAGGAGACTTCCAGGTGCCACACTATGGCTGAGTGACCTGCCCGGAGGTGGGCAGGCACACTGGTCTGTGCACAGGGCCTGGAGTCACTGTCCAGATTGGAGCCCCCATCTGTCACTTAACTGTGGATGAACACTAAACAAATTAACCTCCCTTCTGCCTCAGTTTCCTAATCAGTTGAGGAGGGATACTAACACTGTGTACCTTGCAGAGCCGACGAGGGTAGCAACTCGTTACTGTAGGTAACACCGTTCCCACAAGGTGTGCCTGCACGGAAGGGCTCTCAGGCCGGCGGTGAGGGGGACTGGGTGAGGCAGACGCTTTGCTTGTCTTCCAGCAGGAATGAGGATGCCAGTCTTCTATTTCTAACTTAAATAACAGATGGCATTTAGTTTTTATGGGTGGCGTGGCCATTTGGAGCCTCCCAGAGTTATTGACACCTTCCATACTTAGGTCTTAGAAATCATTTTGGTGTCCCCAGTACAGTCAGTGGTCAGCTTCTCTTTATTTCAAAATAATAAATTCTGTTTTTATATAATAAAATATTTAAACTTAAAATAATGCTGTGAGTTTCATAAACCTATGTTTTTTTCAATAATTTGACTATTTTAATGTTCTGGTAAAAAAAGTTCCTTAAAAAAATACATGAAAATCTGCAGGAGGTATGCACTTTTCCCCCTTGCCTCAGGCTGCAGCTCCCCTGCTCCACGGGGGCTGGGCTTGCTTCCAGGCTTAGCGATTGGCACGTGTGTGTGCCCTCTGGGGTATGCCCGCCGTGGCCCTCCTGAGCACACCTGCCTGCTTGCCTGCACCAAGCAGAGTAGGTCTTGCTTGAGACTTGGGAACCAGGGACTGACTGGAAAAGCCATTCTGCTCTGGCCACTGCTCGGGGACGCATTAGCCTGGAGGTGACAGGACAGCTGTGTGTGAGTATCTACAAGGACAGAAAATGGATGCTATGCAGACAGAAATGGAAATAAGCAGCCATGTGGCTGGGAGTAAAGCTTGGAAACAATTTTCCAGGTCCTGGTGTTTCCTTATGAGGCTGCCTTCAGGTTCATGATCTACACACAAGTCCTTATAATCAGATCCTTTTCTTCCCCTTGAGCTGGGGCAAGTAGATTTCTATTACTTACATTAAAAAAAAAATCCTGGAAGCAAATTTGTGGAGGCCTAATAACATAGCTGCAATTTGTAAGGCTGTATTGGCAGTGACCGTAGATTGGTCAGCAATGGAAGGTCACATTGCTGTGCCAGTTAGCAGGTATGAAGCAATTCAGGGAACTTTCTGTCAAGCAACTGCACCATGCCTGATTGCCTGCCCTTCAGGTTGCAGTTTAAACACCACTTCAAGGAGCACTTCCCTGACTTCCATACTAAGCTTAGTCCTCCCAAGATTGTGTAATCAAATATTTATAAGAATATGTTCACCTTCTCTGCTAGAATGCAGACGCCCTAGACAGGGGCCTGCATCTGTTTGCTCTCCTTCTATCCCCAGTACCTAGCACTGTGGGTGGCAATGCCAAGTGCTTAGTAAATACTAGTTAACTAATATAAACAAACACATCCTTTGGGCAGAACACTACCTTTCTGTGATATCATGACCCCAAAGCAATCCTAGATGTCACAAACACAGGGTTATGAGGGTCCCATTCTTTACAAATACATATTCATTCCTAGAATGTGAGTGCTATCTGCTTATGTCTGCCCTGCCAGCAGCCCTCACAGCTCCCACTCCAGTCCGGAGAACAGCTCCAGAGGGCAGCCAAAGCAGGGCTGGGGCTTGGCTAGCCGTGCAGCCTGCAGGCCACACTCCCTCTGCAACAGCTGGTGAATCGAATTAATGAATGCTGAGGTGGGACTGAAGCAGTTGAGGGACATTAGTCACTCAGACTTCATTGTGAATAGAACACCTGAAAAAAACATAGACCAGAAAAGGACTGGCCTTGGCCCCTGGGAGGAGGGAGGTGTAGAAACACAGAAATTACTTGCATAGAGAGCAAGGAAATAAAGACACAACACAGCAGATGTTACCTTAGGGACCTAAGAGCAAAACTAGGCTTGTGCATATCCCCCAAGGCCTTCGGTAACCCACCTATGCCATCCGGGTCTGACTGAGCTTTTGAGAACAGCTGTCATTCCACAAACACTACCTGGTCACCTCATTGCACTCCATTCCCCATGCAAGTCCCTGCGACCACAGTGACTCCCATTTCTGCCCTGGAATTCCTCACAGGCAGTGGGGAGGCAGACAATAAACAAGTAAATGGACATATATGTAGTAATCACACATCAGAGGAATCTCAGAAGGAAGCAGAGAGGATGAAATAACAGAGGGACCAGGTCTAGCTTCTGTGAGAAGGCTGGGAGGCGGTGCCCGAGAAGCTCCTGAAGTGTGGACACTTGGTGTGAATTGCAGGCTGCACAGAGAAGGTGGGCCATGGAGCGGGAAGCAGAGGCCCAAAGGGAGGAGGAAGGGAGTCCAGGTCACCTGCCGGAAGCTCTGGATCATATTCTCCCTGTAGTAGGAAGCCCCTGGAAGATTTTAAGCACTGAATGACATTGTCCAATTTATACCTTGTATTGCTGGTTGCTATTGTGGGATGGGCTGGGGTGAAGGTGGGCCCAGGCTGGCAGCTGTTACAGCCCCAGCAACACCAGAGCCCTGGGCCAGGCAAAGGTGTGGATATCTGTTCTGGAGTTATCATCCTCAGTACTCCTTAGCAGATTGGGTGGAGAAGGTTAAGGAACAGAATCAAGAATGAGTCCCAGTTATATTTTCAAAAGAGATTCCTATTTTTTAGAGATATATACTAAATATATTTGGGTGAAATGGGATGCTGTCTGGTTTGAAGAATTAGGTTCCAAGTCACTTAATGTGACATTCTAATATTTTTTAGATGGTCATAGATAAATTAGCATGTAACAGTCTCAGGAATATTAAAATAAACTGGAAAAATACAACACATGTACAAAAATACTAAGAGTAACCTACAAAGGTGAGGTAATATCAGTGCAAATATATTTCGAACCGGGCAGGGCCCAGTCCCTGGTTTTTGAGTCCCTGGCTCTTATGAGGCTGCCAGTGAGCTACAGCTGCTTGGCCAGCCGCCCTAGTCACTGCACTCCCAAGGGGCCATGCACCAGCTTTCTCACATCCCTCTTTATTTTGTCTGCTTGGAGTCATTACATGTTAAAAACTGATGAGTAATGTGGTGGCTTTATTGGGAGGAATAACCAGTGACAGGAACAAATCTCGGCGGAAATGATGTTACATTTTGGAACAGGTTAATTTTGAGGTGCTTGAGGGATGTCCAGGTGGAAAGGTAAAGCAGCCACTTAAAGATCAGAGCCTAGGGTGGGGCTTGGGGTGTCTAGGGCTCATAAATGCTGGGCTGAGCTCACCTGGGCCGGCCTGCAGATCACACCTTCCCTCAGGTGTACTTCCGGGAGGTGGGGCTGGTGGAGAGGCCGGGAGAGAACCCTCTGTTCTCCACGAAAGTTGACTCTATGTCACCGTGCAAATATGTAATGGGTCAGGCTCTCACCTGTCACCATTTCCTGGGGGCAAGGTGAGTGTTACAAAGGTTGGCGTCTGGAGAATGCAGGACTGTATGTGGCCCCACTCCCACAGGGTGCTGCTATCCTGACTAGAGTGTCTTCCCATCTCTGAGCCCCTATCAGAAGGTGGAGGAATTCGGGCTGCCCTCCTCCAGCCAGCCCCAAGCACACTAAAGGTGAGTAGCTGTTATGATGGGGTGTGCTAAGAAACGATAAATGGATAAAGCAGCCGCAGGGCACCACTGCGCCAGTGCTTTGCAGTGTTCTTGCTGTGTGAGTAGCAGGGTTACTCTGTTATTAGGAGGCCTTCAGCTTAAGTTTCAAAAACAGTCCAAGCCAAGTTGTCTGAGGGAAGAGGATTTATTACCTCTGATTGCATGGCATTTGGGAGGTGGGACAGTCACTCCATGGTGGCATCAGGGACCCAGGTTCTTTCCATCACTGTGCTCTGCCATCTCCAGATGGTTGCTCAGACTGACCCCCTCCAGGGCTGCAAGATGTGGGCCCCATCACAGCCAGACCCTGCATCTTCCTGGAGCTTCTTTTTAAGAGTGAGGGAATCTTTCTCAAAGACCCAGCCCACCTCACCTTCCCTACATGTCTAAGCCAGAACTGGAGCAGCAGGCCCCTGCGTGGGGAGAGGTCTGTGGCTGACGCCTATGTTTGATAGTCCCCTCAAGCTGCTGTAGGGAAGGCACACAGTGACAGCATCTGACCTCAGCTATGACCCTGGACTGTATTCTGGCCCCTGGGCCCTTGCTGCTCAGGCCTGGGGTGGCTGCTTAAATAGGGGCCAGCCATTCACCCACCTCAGGGAGCTCTAACAGGACAGATCTGCTTTTCTGCCTATTGCTCTTCTGGCCACAGTCAGGAGAGATCATCACACAGCAGGAACAGCACTTCTCCAGGATGCTGAGAAAGCACTCTCCTGGGGTGCCGGCTGCCTGGACTTGCTGCCAGTGGACAGGACAGGAAGGGGGACAGTTATGGCGGGTGGAACCGTTCCTGATGTCTGCATCCCACCCCTGCTGTCCTCCAAGGAAGATGATTCACTGGCATCCTCTCCAGTGGACTTGGGGAGAATCCATCCCCTCAACCAGAACGAGGAAAACTGCTTCCTCTGGACTCAGGTGGGGCTTCCAAGGCGGCCCCGCTGCCACCTCCCCAGCAAACAGCAGACTGGGAGGCAGTGGCCCTGGTGGGCGCTCCCCACCCCTCCCATCACGCTGCTTCCCTTCTGCCCCTTGCCTGGTCCAGAGGACCCCTGCGCACTCAGACGTCTGTGTGCCCTACTCTCCACGGGGGCCCGTGGCTGCCTCCCCTGAGCAGCGCCTCTCTTCCTGGTTGTGCTCAGGAAGCCACTGTTGGGAATTGCCCATCACAGGGCTCGCTGCCTGGCCAGGTAAGGTTTAGGCGAAGGCCAGTGACTGCTCCTTGCTAATAAGCGTGTGGGAGTCTGTTGGACGGTGCTGGAAAAGAGCCCCTCTCTAAGGGACACTGACAGGGTCTACCAGAGCTGGGAAGAGAGCTACTGCAGAGCCCGCAGCCTTGCTGAGAAGGAGGCAGGGGAAATGGGTGTCCACTGTAGTCACCGCGGTTTCTGAAGAGCTGCAGGTGGTCTTCATGCTGTCATGGTTGTGGGAGGCGGGAGACAGCTCACTCCAGACAGAGTATGTGCTTCCCTGCTGTCAGCTGCTTCCTCGGATGTGGGGGCCCTGTAAGCTCCAAGCTGCCTCTGCTCTTCCTTCAGAGCCATGACTCGCCCCAGACAACCACCGCTGGAGCCCAGATTCAAACTTCAACATTGTGTGCTGGCCATGGCTGTTTTAACTTTTTATTGCTTTAGCAAAACCTCCACACCCTAAAGCATGCTTCTCAGACTTGAGTGGGGACGTGGCTCACCTGGGATCCTCACAGCACCTGGCGGAAGAGTGAAACTCCAGGCCAGGTCACCCTCATTAGAGCTGATCTGCTTCTATGGCTTCCCTCATGCTGGCCTGTTAACTACCTTCACCTTATGAAACAGAGATAAGACACCGTGTTTACTAAAATTTAATATTTCAGTGCTTTTTTTTTAGGACTAGAAAATAAACTCCTGAGTACTAAGTATTAAGAGGACAAAATGAAAACAGACAAAGGAGCTTCTTGTAATCTGGGAACAGCACACAGACATTGCTTAGAAAGCAAGAGTGATTTAACTGCACCCATACCCAAAGTCCTGCCTGCCAAGTGAAGGAAGCTGAAGCAAGGCTGCCTAATGTGAGGTGTGCTTCTGATAACAGGGATCTAGTATTTAAAGGTATTAGGAATTTTATATTTCCAAAAATTATCAGTATTGTTTGTAAAGCATATGATTAAAAACTCATTTACCTATTTTAAAATGTCAAGTATTTATATTCCATTTTCATAAAGTTGATTTCTAGAGCACAGTTTCCCTAGAGGACATTTTCCCCTGTGTGTTCAAGGGGAAAGAGTGGCTTTGTAGGCAGGGATGAAGTCGGGGCCGCTGTCACAATGGCTACCAGCTGCTGGAGGCCCTGACCTCTCCTGCACCCCGTCACACTACACGGGATGAAGTGACACCTCTAGGGAGCAACCATCTGCTGTGAAGCAGATGTGATCTTTCCTTAGGACAATGCCGCAGTGCTTCCCTATTTTCCATCTCAGTTCTGGATGTCCTTGCAGGGCACTGATGTGTGTGACTTGATTTTTTAACTGATTCACAAACTGATTTGTGCTCAGTTAGACTTTATGGGAAACAAATCAGGACGATGGGAATTTATAGGGCTTATCACCTCACTCTAGGGCTGTGACAGCACAGAAAGTAGCCTCCGGGCTTGGGAAACAACCTGATCCCCACAGATCAACTGTGGGAATTTAACGTGGGGAATCGGGAACAAGGTGTGAGGAAACTGAAGGCAAGGCATCCCAGACATTCATGACTGCAGGAAGCCACCGCCTCCCTAGGGCACAGAGGACCCTGAGAGGATGTGAATGAAGCCAGGTGTCCAAAAGCCAGGGCCACCCGTGTGAGCTGGTGCCACAGAGGCTGCCTGGCCGGCGCTGGGCTCTGGGAGAGGAGCCGCCTGGCCAGAGTGGCAGCACAGACAGCTGGAAAGGCTGCAGGAGCAGAGAGAATGGGGAGGGGCAACCGGCTCCTCTCCCTTTCCTCCCTGCCAATCTCCCGCCAGTCCCTCCCGATGGCTAGCCCTAACTGGAAGCTGGCAAGAAGTCTGGGAAATGTAGTCTGATAGAGCAGGGCTGGGGGTGGGGGTCAGGGGCAGGATGAAGCCTGGGAAGGGTTGAAAGTGACTGCAAATAACTTGCACAACTCCTTCTTCTGTGGCTAGGTACCTACCCATATATCTACCCATACTTAGCTGCCATTCAGTGACCTCATGGGTCCAGGTATCAGATCAGCTCTCCTTAATACAGCCTCTGTCCCCAAAGAGAGACACAAAGTCCCAGCCATCTCTGGATCCAGCTCAAAGTCCAACATCTCTGGTGATCCCAGTTCCCCTAGTCATGCACCAGTGTGGCCTTTCCTTCAGATGAGGTCTATGAACTACATCAGTTAAGTGCCACCAATTCTCCTTATCTAAAATAACAGGCAATGGGTAAAGTGGAAATAGAGGCATGTGTGTATAATTTTCAAGTTTGTTTATACACAATGTTTATTTTTGTATATATTTTTCATTAGGTTTTACTGCTTAAAACTTCAGCAGTTCTTATTTCTGTAACTGTCATTAGGTTGATATTATTACTTTTTTTTTTTTTACCACCCATTCCAAGGTCCCTCTGCTATCACATGGTTGGCACTCTTCACCTAGTAGGATGACTTCCTTCTGTGGTTACTGAGGTTTCCACTGGCCAATAACTTTTCTGCCTGTATGGTGTAATACTTTAGTAGAGTGCTCACTTGATTGACTTCAAAGGTAACTGTGGTCCTTACAGGTCAAACTTAAGTCCTCACCCTTTCTGCACATTCTATAGTTGTGCCCATCTTGTCTGCTGGTTAAGCACTGTCAGGGAACTCACTGCTGCAGGACCCCATTATTCCCACTAAATCAGGAAGCCCATTTCAGGGAGAAGGTCTGCTGGAGTCCAGCTCCAGCAGGGGGTTGTGAAGCCCGAAAGGATGAGACAGACTCGGTGCTGGAGAGACAGGACACAGAGTCAGATGGAGGTGGTCTCTCGACAAAGTGCTGATGACAGCTTTATTTATACCATTTTACACAAGGATATTATTATTTTTTATTGTTCTGTTGATTAATTGGTATAGGCAGTTGATTAATAGGTATAGGCAAGCTTTTTTCTTTCTTCTTTCTAATCTATTCATGGTTGGTCAAGTGTTAGACAGGTGATCGTTTTCTGTCCTTGACCGAAACTTTTCCTAGCAACATGTACTCTATCATGTTTTACGTTTCTATGCAACGCAGTTTCTAAGTAGTGCATGTGACCGCAGGAGCGTGAAGTATGTAGCAGTAACTATGGAGTCTATCAGCTCAGGGTGAAATACAGGTCACCTACTGCCACAATTAGCTAGGATTCTTTCCCACAAAAATATTCTTAGAGGCTTTAATAAATTTATAATCAATCTAAAATCATAAACTCATATCTTCACCATACACCCCCTTTATAGGACTCAGTAGGCAGCAAACTAAATTTCCCCTTCTTATCTACATTTCTGGGTGGATACCAAAATCTCCCTGACATATAATACACCGGTCTCCATGACTCCACTACTGCAGGGACTAAACAAGTTCTTACATGGTGAACAATGCAAGAGCATTCATGTCATAGAAACTGTTTCTGTTTTAACTAAAAATCTTAAACTATAAACAATCAAGTCAAATATGATGTATGATTATTCATTTGATTTTTATACTTTATATGTGATTCTCACATTTTCTCCTTTACGTTTCTAATAAAATGTTGATGTAGTAGGTAGATGCAAGATATAGATAGAAAGCATGATTTAGTGCTGTAAAAAAGCAGGTGTAGATGGTCATGTCTGTGCCTATAGACTAGGTATTAATTCAAGCTGGACAAGGGCACCAAAACATCCACAGGTGTAGACAATTTCTCTCAACACTGGGGGTGGTGAGGTTCTAAGCGTCACCTCTGTTGGTCCCCATTTTCTCACCTGATGGTCCCCCTGCGACTGTGCCTGTCTTAGGTTGTTCCTGCCTTGAGGAATCTTACCCGTCTCTGGCTAACCAGCCATCTTCTGGGGCCACACAGGGAGATGTAAAGCTGGTAAGTGAGAGAGAAGTAATGTTCTTTGAAAAGGTTAGTTTTTCACTTCTTTGCAGATTTATGCTCTGTGGCTTCTATGCCCAGTAGTTGTCTTGAGGTATCTTTACCACTTGGAAGAATTATGATACTTGGTAATTTCACGTATGAGGCACGAATTCTAGTAAAGGGTTGTAATTAGGAAGGAAGAAGAAAAGCTATAGAAGTAGCAGATGGAAGAAAACATGAGAAGATGGATTAAGTGTCAGGGTTATTCTATTCAATATTCCCTCATAACTCTATTTCTCTAATTTTCTTATAAAACTCTTCATCACTAATTTCACTAGCATTGTGATAAAAAAAGGGGGGCATTTCCACTTAGTGGAGATGGGGCAGTCAATGTTTGACTAACTAATAGTAGGCTTCGGTATTCTATGCCAAGACCACCATCTGGCCCCTGCATGTTCCATTCTTTAGGAGCACTGTCCTGAAAAGCTTCTGGGAAACTCATGTTCTCATCTTTTCCACACTGCTCAGCAAAGGTTAATTAACCCTTGGCAAAACGCAAGCAAAAGCAAAGCCAATAGTATAATGGAGGAAAACAAAATCAAGGTGGGTAATAGGGGGAGCCAGCTGCAAAGGGCCTTGATTTGTGGGGGGTCTTCCTCCAGCCTGAGCTTTGCTACACAGCTTGAGTAGCATGGTTCCCAGCAAAGGTCCTGTTATCATTCTCATAGGCTTTCTAGGCTGCTGGTCTTCTCACAAAGCATTTCTCAGAGCCTTAATAAAGGGGCATCTCTGGATCCTCCTGGGAGACAGTCAGATGGTAAATAGATGACGTGCACAAAGTAATTTCAACTTCCTCACATCCCTAAATTTTTTGGAGTCCTTCCTTGACCTTATCCCAGAGAAGTTCTAGCCTCTTTGCTTTGTTAAATGGAGGCCACTGCTGGTCTCAGGTTTCAGTCAAACAACCACCAGATTGTTAGGGCCACTCCCACCTCTTCGAGCGGGCACATGATGTCCAGAATCTTGGATGAGTACCACACTGGTAAGTGTGGTCCAGTATTTCTTTTCATCTCAGGTTCTTATGTGTATAACGTTGCCAGAATCTTGCTATTGTTGATATTGTTTTGATGTGTAAACTTTCTCCTTTAGAAGCTGAGCTAGGCTGATGGTTGACTCTAAATGTGAGCTTGGAAGTAATGAGCAGAGGTGATGGTAAGTCCTCAGAATGCGTATTTCCTGGAAAGGTTATTACCTCAGGTGAGTGGTCTCAGATGATATGCAAAGGAGTGTTTCTCCTGGTAAGGGAGTCTCAGTGGACCTGGGGTACAAGGTTCTCAGATTCTTAAAAACCCAGCCAAATGCCCTCATCTCAATCTCAATGTCCCATATGCCATACTGACAATTTCCTAACCTCAACAAAGAAGACTTCTTGACAAGGCTGAAGGCTGAACATGTTTTTGTAATTTGGAAGCTTACACAACTAGATTTTGGGTCTAGCCTTCAGTCTGTGATAAGAAATTCTATTAGGGCCACCATGAAGTTCTCAGTTTCTTTGACCATGATTTGACTTAAGCCTAAGAGTTTAAAGCCCTGAGCTTAGCTTCTTTTTTCCTTCATGAGATGTCTAGTGCAACAGAAGCCAATCCTTCATTATTACCATAAGTATTCTTGCACTGTAACTATCATTATATCCCAATCATCCTTACACCATAACCATCATTACTATATAACCATCCTTTATACCATAACCATCATTACTACATAAGCATCCTTACACCATAGCCATCATTACTACCCCATCTATCAAGTTCAGTAGCTATTTCATGTCCCAAAGTCTTCTTTCTACTGGTCCTTCATCTCAATCAGCACAGATGGTAATTTAAGTCATTGTGATGTCAGAAATTGTCAGAGCTCATACTGCTTTTAAGCTCAAATAGATAGGCAATCTCAGAGTTCCTGAATCTTAGAAATCCTGGGACCACTTCTGGATTCGGTCAGGAGCCAGTCAGGACAGAAAATGCATCCAGGACTGGACAGACAAGTTTCTGGCACAGTAATGGGGCCAGAGTTTGTACGTGACAGCTTTCTAGTTGTGTAATCTTTGGGATGTCATGTGCTCTCTCTGGGCGTGCTCTCATTTGTAAAGTGGAGGTGATATTAGTTCTCTGGCCTGCTCTCCACCCTCACTGCTTCCAACCACAGTTGCGTGGAACTGGGTGTGTCAGACCAACAGCTAATAAATGACTGGCATGAAGGGCTCTGCCCAGATAGAAGAGCTGCTCCAGCTGAGTGTCCAATTAGAGAACTGAAATGAAAGAAGCCCGAAGCTCCTCAGGCTTGGAAAGTTTTGGGGCCCTGGGCAGACTGATGAGGAAGCAATGATGACTCACTCTCGGAAGAGAAGGATGGAGGGGAGAGGAGGAGAAAGGTGAGAATCAGAGCGGGGGAGACTGAGGGCCCCCATCGGCACCCCTCCCACCCTGCACCCACAAGTCTACCCTGCTTCCTCACCTGGGTTCCCTGAGGCACCCACCCACCTACGTTTTTAAACAGACACAAACAAGCAAAAACAGAGGCAACAACATAAACTGTCCCCTTCCCTTAAACTGTGAGCGGTTTCGCATCCTTAAAATCAAAACATCCTGGCCTGGGGAAAAGAGCATCTTTAATAAAACAATTGTGTGAAAGCCCAGCTATACTGGAAAAATCAAACTTTTATTCAGAATCAGCTCAGAGTTCAAATCCTGGGTCCATCACTTATTCTTACAGTGATCCTGGGTGGCTTAACCTCCTGGCACCTCAGTAAATAAAGATAATCCATTGGATGCCCTTCAGACCTATCAGTTTTCACTTGCAAACCCATTCTTCAAAGCCTCACTCAGTGACATCTCCACAAACTCACCCCAATTCCCTAAGGGGGGGGTCACCTCCCTCCTCTGCCTCTGAAGAGTGATCCTATTCTGCCTCGTATGCTACTCATTTGTACATGTGCCTTGTCTCTGCTATATGCCATGAGCATCCTATAGTTGGGGGCCATGTCCAATCACCCTTTATCCCCAGTGGGCCATGACAGAGAGCCTCTCTGAGAGGAGGTATGCAAGAAATGTTTCTCTAATGAGTGAAGTGTCTATTGTCCATAAGACCCACATTCTTTCCTTTTATTTTCAAATCCTTTTCTTAAAAATAAAATTCCAAAGGAAGCCCAGATCCATTTATCCATGTACTTGTTATATACAATCATTTCTGAAATATATCTCATTCGATAGTTAGTGATCATAAAATTAATTTGCCCTTTGACATTAATTAATGTCATGTGAGTATTCTGGTTATTATTCAGGTCAAATTTTAGTGAATACAGAATAAGGCCTCAAGGAATGGGAAAAGCTAAAATATAGACTATTATGATTCTGATAAGATATTGGGAAGAGTTTTAAAAAGTTGGAAGTTCATAGGAGAAATCAAGATCCCCAGTGGAGAGCAAAAAGGCAGGTGGTAAAAGTTAACTATAGGATGACCAGTTATTTCAACACTGGGGCCAAAAAAAATCTGTTATACAATTTGAAAGATGAAGTCATTGCTGGTAAATTAGAAACAACTTCTGGAAACCCTGCTTTCATGAATGGCCTGAACCTAGATGTCACCTGACTGCTAGATGGCTGGGAACCAGGCTCTGTGGGGACACTGAGACATCCCTGCATTTCAACATGCCAAATAGCTGTTAGGTAAGCAGAACTGGGGCACTCTTAACTGAGTTCTTTCTCTATATTCCCAAAGAAGGAAAATTATAAGATGTGCAGAGTGAAGTCCAACTTGAAATATTTAAATTTCTCATGTTCAGTATGTTTATTAATAGTTAAGAGCAGTATAAAGGAGAGGAAGCCTATATTCTCAAAAAGCAGTCCTACTTGGATGGACAGTGACTGTGAAGGGGTATGTGGGGGGGACTTGGTGAAGGGGGGAGCCTAGTAAACATAATGTTCTTCCTGTAATTGTAGATTAATGACACCAAAGAAAAAAAAAAAGCAGTCCTACTTGACCTGAAATCCCCAAGGAACTCGACCCAGCTGAGTCTGTCCCTGCTTACTCGGTATGGAAGTCTTACCCCAAGTTCATGACTTTGACATCAGCCCGAATAAGAATCCCAACATTCTTTCCTTTAAACAGACTAGTGCTAAGATCCTTTTAGAAAAATGTTGAGTCATAGTGAAAGGGTCTTATTAAATCTGTTCAAAGACTGACAAACGATACCAGTGACATCTCAGGAAGGAAATCAGATGACAACAGAAATCAAAGAAGCTCAGCTGACAGATCCCCCAGCAGCCGGGGACCCATTTCAGAAGTGAGTGTTGGTAAGTAACAGAGCCCCGCCTTCTGGGCGCTCTGATTCATCCTTGATGGCTGTGATAGGGAGGGGCTTGCTGCTGGACAGACAGTGGGGGTGCCGTGAGGGGGACACAGCCCTGAGCAGGTACTGAGTGTGAAGAAGGCTTGTGAGGCTGAGGAAGTGTGGGAACGCTGGGCTCAGGTCGGAAAGGGAACCAGCTGGGGCTCCAGATGAGGTGGAGACTCTCTAATACGAAGCACAGGGGCCAGGGCTGGGGGCGGTGGGGACGTGTCTGCTTGCAAACCCCAGTCCTCTGCACCTACAATGAGAACAGCAAAGCAAAGCTCCAGTCAGGGTTGGGGCTGATATTTCAGGCAGATTAGTTGGACAGGGCACTTGGCCTCAGGGTCTGGGCCATAGCCCAGTGAAGAGGGTGGGGACACGAGGCGGGCTGAGTCTCAGCCTCAGGCAGATGACCAGACAGCTGACCCAGGGTCCTGGTGGGGGCGTGAAATGAGCAGCAGGAGCTTAGTTTTTGACTCCGGCCAAGACTGATCCCAGGAAATGAATGGCAGGAGGACCTGAGCCTACAGGGAGGGGCCAAGCAGTCCTGTAGCTAGCAGTGGGGGAATGAAAAGATGGGCTGCAGAGGTCGCCAGCAGAGGAGTGCTGGCTCTGATTCTGCCACCGAAAGACCACATCTCTCAGAGCCTCATCTACCTCTTCTGAAAATCAGTGGCAATAACACCACACCAGTTCCTCCTAAGTCTGGATTATGGCCCCCTGTCCTTTGTCACCTTCCTGGCCCCTGGAGGCAGAGGTGCCAGCTGGTGTCCCTCAAGCTTTCTCCTCTCTTCTCTATTCTCCTCGCAGTCTCCTGGCTGCTCCTACAGCTGTGTCTTTAGCCTGGCCTCTTTCTTGGTCCTCTGTGTGCTAGCTAGGGGTCATTAGGTCAGTTAGGGCTGGCTTCTCTGCTGTAGCAGATAAATGATAATAGGCAATGGCCTAAATGCAATAGAAATGTAATTCTTGCTCAAGCGAGCAGCCCAAGGACATGCGAGGTGGGCGGAGTGACTCCATCCCATGCGTCATTCAAGGACTCAGGTTGATGGAGGCTCTCCCATGGCAACATGTGGTTTCAGGTTTGTCCTGTCAGGGCTGTCCCTGCTGGTGGAAGAGGAAGGGACATGGAGGAGCGTGAGAAGAAGGATTCAAGGGCTAGGAATGGCAGTGGCACACACTTGCTTATGTTCCTCTGTCTAGAACTCACATGGCAGCAGCTAACTGCAAGGAAGGCTAAGAAATGTTGACAGTGGTAAGCCTAGAAAATAGGGACACAGGGTTTAATGAGCAGCTGTGCATCTCTGCTGGTTCATCCTTGATCTCCAGCCATCTTCAGGATATACACCCTGGATACTCCACAGGAAACTCAAACTAGACCTCATGCTCACTATTGCCTCCAGTAAAGCCTTCCTCTCTCCAGTACTATCATCACCCTGACACCACCTGCGAACCCTGTGTAATGCCGACTTTTCCCTTTCCAGACAGTTTTGGCAGATAGCTCATGTCTCCTGCTTCAGGAGATGATGGACTGGAGGCCCCAGCTGCTGAAGACCCCTTCGGCCTCTCTGTGTGTGTACTGAGCCACATGCCAGCCGGTGAGGAGCACATACAGCCAACTTCTGTGACATGTGGCATTCCTTCAGAGGGAGCCCGTGGTTCCAGCACTCCCCCTCAGCATGGCAGAAACTTCTCTGGGCCTGCTGCATCTGAGACTCTGCCCTCCAGTCCTGCCTCCTTGTCTCCACCAAGATCAGGCCAGTTTGTGATTGGACAACTCACACCACCTTTATGTTTTACAGGTGTTCTCCCAGAAAAATCTCGTGCAAATTAGCCTAGTACTGTGTTGGTAACTGCTTTTCAGAAGCTCTGAACTAAGACAGGGTTCAAAACTGTTCTGCCTTCCATTCCCATTGTCACTGCCCAGTCTCCTCTTCCTGTACTTTGCAAAAGCTCCTAATGGTCTCCCTGCCTGCAATCTCATCTTTCTCAAACAGAGCATCTAAGGGGCCACAGACTCCTGTTTCCAGAGTATAGATATTGACATGTCCCTTCTCTGATCAAATGCCTTCAATCCTTCCCACCTGCCGCCTATGGAATCCACCTACATTTTCTGGAATGTGGGTCAGAATTCTTCACCCTCTCTCCTCAGGCTTGCCTGTTCCTACTGTCCTTGCCGTGCCTGTAACCCTGGTCTCCACATGAGCCTGTAACATTCCCCCTCTGTCTGGGCTCCTCCCTCTACCTGAAATGGCTTCCACCCATTTCTCATTCTATTTCATTAATTAGAACCCAGCTCAAAACCTTTCCTAATCCTAAAAAACCTGTTTCTTCTCTCTTCTGGGTTCTCATAGCATGTTGCCCACAACCTTTACCTTAAATGCATGTCCATTTCCTCCACTATTTGGAGATCTTTGAAGGCAAGGAGGGGGTTCCTTCCTTCCTTCCTTCCTTCCTTCCTTCCTTCCTTCCTTCCTTCCTTCCTTCCTTCCTTCCAGCAAATAGTTATTGAGTGCCTTCTGTGCCCTGGTTCCGGACCTGGATATTGGGGATAAATTTAAATGGACAGATCTAAAAAAAAATCTCTGTCTCCTAATGTTTCATTGTAGTATATCCTGGTGCTGGGTGGTGCTCTCGCAGAGAGCAAATGCCATGCTATTAAATAAGGAAAAGGAGATCATAACTTAAAATATTCTACTGGCAAAATATACAGCTAATAGAATGCTGAAACTCACATCTATCTTAGGAGGGAAAATAGAATTATGGTTGAGAATTTCTGCAGAAATTGCAGAAGAACTACACAAACAAAAGTGATATAAAGGGGTGGAGCCAGATGGCGGCGTGAGTAGAGCAGTGGAAATCTCCTCCCCAAAACACATAGAGCTATGAAAATATAACAAAGAAAACTCTTCCTAAAATAGAGACCAGAGGACACAGGACAACATCCAGACCACATCCACACCTGCAAGAACCCAGCGCCTTGCGTAGGGGGTAAGATACAAGCCCCAGCCCGGCAGGACCCGAGCAACCCTCCCCCCAGCTCCCGGCGGGTGGAAAGAAACCGGAGCGGTTTTTTTGTTGGAGAGTGCTTTTTGGAAGCCTTAAAGGGAGAGGGACTCCGTTGCTAGGGGGGCAGGGCGGCGGGACCGGTGAGCGGGTGCCTGGGACCGGTGCCTGAGGACAAAGAATATCGCACATTTTTCCCTACGGGACCAGTGGGCGGGTGCCTGAGACCAGTGCCTGAGGACAAAAATATAGCGCGTTTTTCCCTGCGGGACCGGTGGGCGGGTGCTTTTTGGAAGCCTTGAAGGGACAGGGACCCCGGTGCTAGGGAGGCAGAGCAGCAGGACCAGTGAGTGGGTGCCTGGGACCGGCACCTGAGGACAAAAAAAATCGCGTGTTT